CCCGGCTCCGTCCCCGTGGCTCCCGGCTCTGCTGCTGCTGCTGCTGGGGCTGAGCCTGCCCCTGGCGGCCGCGCTGCGACTGCGCCGTGAGCGCCCCCACCGCCATTCCAAACATTCCTGGAATTCCCGACATTCCCAGAATTCCCAACATTCCTGGAATTCCCGACATTCCCGGAATTCCCAACATTCCCGGCATTCCCGGAATTCCCAACATTCCCAGCATTCCCGGAATTCCCAACATTCCCAACATTCCCGGAATTCCCAGCATTCCAACATTCCCAACATTCCAACATTCCCGGAATTCCCAGCATTCCCGCAATTCCCAACATTCCCGCGATTCCCAACATTCCCAACATTCCCGGCATTCCCAACATTCCCACAATTCCCAGCATTCCCAGCATTCCCAGCATTCCCAGCATTCCCAACATTCCCACATTCCCAACATTCCCAGTATTCCCGGAATTCCCAACATTCCCAGCATTCCCAGCATTCCCAGCATTCCCAACATTCCCACATTCCCAACATTCCCAGCATTCCCAGCATTCCAACCATTCCCAGCATTCCCAACATTCCCAACATTCCCGGAATTCCCGACATTCCCAACATTCCCAGCATTCCCAGCATTCCCGGCATTCCCGGCATTCCCAACATTCCCGGCATTCCCAACATTCCCAGCATTCCCAGCATTCCCAACATTCCCAACATTCCCGGAATTCCCAGCATTCCCAGCATTCCCAACATTCCCAGCATTCCAACATTCCCAACATTCCCAGCATTCCCAGCATTCCCAGAATTCCCAACATTCCCAGCATTCCCAGCATTCCCAGCATTCCCAGAATTCCCAACATTCCCAGCATTCCCAGCATTCCCAACATTCCCAACATTCCCTAAAATCAACACAATCAACAAAATTCCCCCAAATTCCCTAAATCCCTCTAATCCCCAAAATTCCCAAAATTCCCAAAATCCCCAAATTCCCCAAATTCCCAAAATCCCCCAAATTCCCAAAATTCCCAGAATTCCCAAAATCCCCCAAATTCCCAGAATTCCCAGAATTCCCCTTTCCCCCTTTTATTTCCATTTCCCCCCACATTTCCCCCCATTTCCCCCCCCTTTATTCCCATTAAAAATTAATTAGCAATTAATTACC